CTTATATATACTCATATATTTATATTCACTTAATGTGAATATACTTAACATCTATACTTCAAAAATGGATCAAATAATAAATTTTATGCTGTGTGTATTTGACCATAAATTATTTTTAAATAGGAGAAACCAAAATACCCTGTAACAACCCAAATACAAATTAAAAAATTAATTGATTAAATAAAGCATGTAACACAAGAATATTAAAAAGAGTGAGGTGAATCTACATGTACAAAGTTGCTTACCTGCATTAGGAAGAAAGCAAGTTAGGAGTATTTATATTAAGTTGTCATTTGTGAAAAAACTAGATATATATTTATGTGCACGTATTTGTTTGCATATACACTGAAAATATCAGGGAAGTCAAAAAAGAAACTATCTCTGGGTTATTTCTGTGGGGGGCAATGGAGTTTGTGGAGAGACTTTTCATTTCTCACTTTAGATCCTCCATGCTGTTTGAACACATAGTACTCATAATGGCTTTATATAGACTTTGTGCAGAAAACGCTATGCAGCTGTTAGAAGATCACTGTGCTGAAATAAGTTTCCAAAGCACAGCACTGAACATAAAAAGCTGGTTCTGAAATATTAAATATAATTTCCTCCCCTTGTGTGTTTTAAAATTGTGAGAATGTCCCTAAGTAGTAAAGAAGGAAGTATGGAAGGACACTCAGAATGCATTTAGCAATTTTACCTGTTAGTCGGAGGGTGTTTCCATGTTACCTGGATTTCAGTTTATTAAAAATAAAACAAAAACTGAAACAGCCTCTCTCACCTGTAGGTTTATATGAGGACGAGAAGGGCACAGTTAGTCTAGTTACTTCCACAAAGAGGCTCTCAGAGTAATATTATGAATAAATGGGACAAGATTTTCAAACACTCAGCCTAACCACAATCTCACTGCTGCAGGTGAGAAAACAGCAAAGGCCAAGCTTTGCCCCAATTCCTACTGAGAGTGTGTGGCAGAACCTGAGCTAGAAATGAGGTGCTTTGACTTGTAGCTCTTTTTGTTTGTAATCACACCATGAATTATATTTAAGAAGAGCCAGTGTTTTTATTGTTCATCAATAACTCCATAAACTGTCCTAGAGATTTTTGTAGATGACAAAGGGTAAACAAAAATATCAAGACACAGACTCTGCCCTGAAGGAACTTCAGGGGAGGAGCTGAAGAGACCCTCAGGGCTAGGGGAGAAGCTGGAGAGAGGCCTCACTATCTGCAGCAGAAGGGCTTGATCTCAGGAGTTCCTCTTGAATCTCTGCAGCATGGGGCACCTTCCACAGAGTTGGGGGACAGGGCCAGCCTACTCGCTAATGCTCTCCCTTCTGCAGTGACAGCTGAAGAGGTAAAATAGGAACACTTTCTTGTGAATCCCATTTGTGAAGCACCAATTATACTTAGGTGTGAGACTAGATGCTGGTTACAGGAGGGTGAAATGAGCAAGATAAATACTGTTCCTGCCTTCCTAGAACTTCCTATCTGCTTCCTGTCACTAGCGGACTGATAGGAAAATGGCACACAGACTTGAGTGGCAATACACAAAAGATATATACTTCACAAGTACAATTCAGGGAAGTCGCAACACAGCAAGAAACCAACCAGGAAACAGGGGATTATACAGTTAACAAATTACAGTGAGCGTTAAGGAAGATAAATACTAGATACATGAGGTCAAGATACCAGAGAGATTTCAGTTATCTAATGTGATTTAACTGCTGGTAAACAGTAATTGCATGACAAAACACTTTTAATGAGTGCTTTAATGTGGATAGCCAAATAATGTAATGGGTACAACAAGCACTTTCTCATACGTACCAATTCCTTTAATTAGGTGGCAGTTTGGAAGGTCTATGGATTCAATTTCTCTGGAGGCTTTAAGTCGATTTCTGTTTAAAAAAAAAAACACAAAAAACCTTCTTGTTTATGTATTCCATTTGGTTTGAGAAAATGCTTAAGGAGGCTGGCAGCAATACAAAAAGCAGCACACATCTAAAACAGCTGAAGGAGGACAGAGAAACAAATGTAGGGACATAAAACAGTACCAGAAATAAAGTTAAAACAGAAATGGATAACACCAAGTTCTACATGTGGATGTGTGTGGCACAACAAAGCCAAGGATGTAATGAATCACACTAGGATGAAAGTAAAGCAAGGGCCAGGTCACATTTCTTGTAGCTCTGGTGTGGGAGGAGAGCTCGGGTGGAGAGCCAGAAGCCCTGTCTTCCTGCTGAAGAGCCAGCACACAAGGCAACATCCAGTCACAGGCAGTCTCCCGCCATGACTGCAAGGAGGCCAGGAGAAATGGCACTGCTCAGAGCCTGGCCCGCAGCAGGTACAGCCCAACCGTGACTGAGAAGTCCTAGGGGAGGTTCCCATCCTCAAGGCAAAATTGTTTGGAGAGCACCAACTACTTTTGAAACTGTGGCAGCAAAATTTCATGCTCCGATTGGTTTAGGAAAACAAAGAAGAAATGACAAAGGAATGCTGAACTCTGATATTTTGGGTGGGGCATGGTACTGGGAACCGAACTCAGGACCTCACACTTGCCAGGCAGGCGCTGTGCCACTGAGTTAAATCCCCAACCCTGAACTCTGATATCTTGCACCTTCCTTTGTACCTGCCAGGGTCACCAGGCAATTTGGTCCAGGAAGCGATTAGGAGGCCACATACTACAGGCTGTCTCTTCTCTCTTTTTCTCACTTTGCCTCTCTCTTCTTTTTTTTTCCTGGTACTGGGAATCAAACTCACAACCTTGCACTTGCCAGGCAGGCGCTGTGCCGCTGAGCTAAATCCCCAGCCTTCCTCTCTCTTCTTTAGAGCCACAAAACAATAATCATGCTTGCAAGGAACTTTATGTTTTACAAAGGGTAAAACCTTGCCTCTCTCCTGTTCAAATCCCCAGCAGTTTCTGATTTCTATACACCAAATATGGGGAAGGTTATTAACTCAATAAACTGTCCTAGAGTTTATTGAAAATTGAAATATTTGCAAAGCCCAAGCCTAGAGAACCAATGGGTTGTGCCCTACTATACACTTTGGCAATTCATTTCATATATAAAATCTCTAGATAATCAGGGTCTATTCAGAATCACACCACTCATAGTATTATATTTGAAATAAGGAAGCAAATAAGTAATACATAAATATAGAAATGCAATACAATGCAAATGTGTTATATAAGTAAAACTTGAAAAGCTAAAAGCAATGAAAACACCCAAGGTCTCACTTTTACCTGTGCCAGTAATATAGTAATTAAAAGGGAAAAAAAGTATATGCAGCCCATGCAGTGGTAGCTGAAACAGTAATGAGGAAGACGATGCTGATGATCATCAAGGTGGTCAAAGGAAATCAATGATAAAAACAGCTATAGCTTACTACTGTTCTAAGTCTATCGCTGTTTTACATGATGTGCCTCAATGAATTCTTCAAGCCACCTTATGACGCGTCCCCTTGAGAGATGATAAAAATAAGCAGAGAGGCAAAGCCATCTTTTTCTGAATTCTAACTCAGTGAGGAAGCTGGAACCAGCTCTCAGTGAGGGGCAGGCCTTGCTTTAACCACTCTGTACTTTTCCCAGACAGGAGTGAAGAGATCTGTGTTCTCGTCCCAGCAGTAACACTGCCATGACCCACAGCAAGTCACTGAATCTCTGTAGCTCTCAAGCCTTCTTCATAAATTCAAATACGGATGAATTTACAAGATCCCAAGATTCTCCTCATATTGAATGACGCAGAAGCAGATGTATGCACAAGTCAGTGGGTGACACCTGTGGGGTGAACATCAAGTATCATGTGTTGATTTGGTGTCGATTTTATACAACATGCCCTTTATACTTATTTGGCTATACAAAAATAGGGCTGAGGGTGATTCCCATCTACCTTTTTCAAAGAAAAATCTATACGATTAGATAGACAGACTTTATGATTAAATAGAATCTACTCACAGTATCATAGTCAGATGTATCTGAACAGTTTAAGAAGAGGTATTTGATTCAGAGTGAACAGGTTTGCATAAATGACTGATTAATACACTTTGCTTTGAGGGGAATCTTCACCTAAGTTTAGTTGTATAATATCTATAGACATGCAAACTATGTGCTATTAAAACTGAAGAGTTACCTGAGGGCTGTGCATGACTTCTAGCTAATCAAATACTCCCCCCCCACACACACATGCTTTTGCTTTATTTTTTTAAAAAAGAAGATTTTGCTTCAATCTTAAGTGACCCATCTATGACTCCCAAATTCCTTCAGTAGAAAACTGCTGGACTTGCCCCCTGGCAGAGCTATCAATTTCCTGCTCGTTGGTGTAATTCTACATTATTTCAGGGGGCAGATGCCACTGGCTGACAAAATGGCCATCTGCCCCTTCTGCTTTGCTTTTTCTACCACAGTGGGCAAGGGGAACCGGTGATTTCCCAGCCTCCTTTGCACTTAGGTGTCATGATATGATGCCAAGTTTTTGGGAAAGATATTTTAGTTCCTGATAGAAAGGGCAGGCACAAGTGAGGCTGGCTACTCTGAACACAGAGGCAGTGCGAGAGAAGCCAGCGGCCATTCTGCATCTTTTTTTCTTATATTTCTAAAGTTAATATGCATTCACATAAAAAGAGAGAGACTCCAGAAGTCTCTTTGGAGTGAACATATTACAAAATTTCAATGGGGCTTTTAAAAGGTCTTTTTAAATAAAATTCGCATTCATGTCTATTGTTCAATGTTTCCCCCCCTTTTTAGTATATGTTTATGATACACTGTAAATATACCCATAGTGGCGAACCGATAAGTGCACATTTCAAATCTTAATCCTTTTTACTTACCCTTTCCTTTTCCTCTCCCATCTGCCTCCATCCCCAGATCTATTTCTCATCTCCCACAAAATCTTTCTTCCTATTTCCTCTCATCTATTTTTTGTTTTGTTCATTAAATTGTGTATACTTTGGGTTTCTTGTATAAAAGAACCCGTTATTTAATCTTCTGTGTCTGATTTATTTCACTTACCACTGGTCTCAAGGTGCATTGACTTTCCTACAACTGACTCAAGTTAACCCTTCATTACAGCTGAGTAGTACTACACTGTGTATATATCTCACATTTTCTGTACATATTTATCTGCTGACAGGTGTATAGGCTGCTTCCAATATTTAACTATTATTAGTAGTGCTAATAATAGTTATATTATGCACTTCATGTGCATATATCACTATAATATAATCTCTTTAACTCTGTCAGGAAGATACCCAGAAGATATACATGGGTCAAATGACATCTCTACATTTAGTTTTCTGAGGAATCTGCACACTGACTTCCTAGTGGGTGCACTAGTTTACATTCCCACCAACAATGTAGAAGGGTTCCTTATGACCCACGACCTCAACAGCATTTGTTATGTTTTGAGTTCTTGATGACAGATATTCTTCTAAAGTAAGAGAGAATCTCAGTGTTGTATTTATCTGTATTTTTCTAATGGCAAAAGATGCTGGACATCTTTTCAAGCACATACTGACCATTTGCATTTCTTTTGAGATGTGTCTGTTTGCCTCAGTTGCCCATTTTTAAATTTGGTCTTTTAGTTTTGGGGTCTGGTTTTTTGAGTTATTTACATATTCTAGATATTAATCCTGTAAAGAGTAGCCAGCAAAATTTTATCCCACTCTGCCAGTTGTCTCCTTACTCTGTTACTGCTTCCTCCGCTGTGCAGAAGCTTTTTAATTTAATAAAGTTCCATTTGTTGATTGTTGGTGTTATTTCTTGTACAACTGGGTTTCTATTCAGAAAGTCCTTTCCTGTACCTATAACTTTAGGAGTTTTGCATACATCATCTTCCAGCAGATTAAGTATTTGTTTTAACATTTAGATCTTTGACCCCTTTTGATTTGATTTTAGTACAGGGTGAGAGATGTGGGTTTAAATTCTTTCTTCTGCTTGTGGACAACTAGTTTTCCTGTCACCATTTGTGAAAGAGGCAAACTTTTTTCCACAGTGTGCTTTTCGCTCCTTTGTCAAAGATAAGATGTCTGAAGGTGCCTGGGGTTGCTCCTTCATCCTCAATTCTGTTCCATTAACAAACATGTCCTTTTATACTATACTGTTTTTATGACTGCAGCTTTGTAATATAACTTGAAATCTGATATTTATGACATCTCCTGCTTTGCTCTTGTTGCCCCGGATTTCTTTTGATATCCTGGGTCTCTTCTGGTTTCATATTTTAGAATTTTATTTCTAAATTCATATTTTAGAATTTTATTTCTAAAGAATGATGTTGGAGTTTCGATTGGGACTGTATTAAATCTACCATTTTTTTGTATTATGGCAGTAACATGATTTTGACAGTATTTATTTTGCGGATTCAGGAAGAGGGGATGTCTTCCCATTTTCTGATGTCCCCTTTAATCTTTTTCAGAGTACTGTAATTTTTGCTATAGAAGTCTTTCACTCCTTTGCTTAGGTTAATTCATAGGTATTTAATTTTTTTTAAACTATCATGAACAGGATTGTTTTCTTAATTTCTTTCTTGGTAGATGCACTGTGGGTATACACAATACACTACTGATCTTTTGTGTACTGACTTTGTATTCTGCTACTTTACTGAATTTGTTTATTAGTTGTAGTAGTCTTTCGGTGGAGTTTTTTGGCCTCCTGTATGAAGGATCATGTAATCTGTGAATAAAGGTAGTTTGGCATCTTCATTTCCTTTTTTTTAAAATTTTTTTTAATTTTAATTTTTTTTTTGGTTTTTCTCCGGTACTGGGAACCGAACTCACAACCTTGAGCTTGCCAGGCAGGTGCTTTGCCGCTGAGCTAAATCCCCAGCCCCTCATTTCCTGTATGTGTACAGTATCCCTTTTATTTCCTTCTCCTGCCTGACTGCTCTGACTAAAGTTTTGAGTA